CGTGGTTTGTTCAACAGATTTTATAGTTTGGACTGTAAATGTTGAGTTTTCTAGGAAGCTCCTGTATTGACACAAGAATTGCTCGTCTACTGGCGTATTTGCAGCGTCATTCGAGCTGTGTGCGCCAGTGCAGCTTGGTTATTACTGGCGCTAAGGCCAGATTGTAATGTGCTTGGAGATACAATTAAAAAGTAAGGCCTTTCATTTTTTTAGTCATTTATACTGTTAGGAGAGATTTTGCGTAGAACCTGGGAATTTCTGGAACAATTAACGTATTCTGAGCCTACCTTAGATACGGGGAAAAGCCCGTTACTGTAATGTTTGGAGATTTAAGATGAAAAGATACCTGCAGAAATGTTTTCTATCAAAATTTATTCTTCATTAACGATTTACAAACGCTTTATGATCATGTTATGGATTACAAATCCGCCAAACCTTTGTTATAACCTTTAAAGTTGTACTTTAAGCATTTAACAAACAAAAAAAAAAAACAATCCTCCCCCTTCTATCCCCCGTCTCTTTCTTATTCCATTGCTTTGATCATATTGCAGGACAGCCGTTGCCGAAATGCTGCAACGCAACAATGACCTTCTGGAGGAAGTTCCATATGAGTACAAAGGGCAATTGGCAAGGATGCTTGGCCTTCAACAATAAAATTGATGTAGTTGTGTATGAAGCTTTTGATAAACTGCAATAGTTTGTGAATTACACTTTGAAAAATGTGTAGTATTTAATAGAAAATAGAAGGCGGAAGACGATCAATAATTGATTTTAGTGTTTGCGAGAAAATTGTAGGATTGGAAAAAAGGAGACTTGATGGTATATTCAAAAATATTTCTTTGCTTGTTATTGCAGTGAAATCGGAAAACTTTTGAAGCTTCTTGAGTAGTTTATTCTTCAAAAATTCGATATAACTAGGTTCTGTGAAATTGTAATATGTTGTAAAAAAAAAACAACTGCATAGAGGAACCATCCTCTCGCGGCGACCGCGGCCAATAAATCACCAACTCCGGAGGAAGTAAGCTTAAGGATCATGGATATTTCGTCAGACCACTCACCAGATCAACCCCACGATCGGCTAGGGATGTGAGCCAATATCTCTCACCCTTACCTGTCTTGTGTTTTGGTGGCCACAGAATTCTTTACAATGTCAAACAAGTGGGTTTCACGAATTGAAGTTAAATTTCAATTGTCTTCATTCCTTTTATGAACAAAATGGCTCGATATCACAATCATGCATTTCAAGCATAGCGCATCGCTTTAGATTCTTTGAATGTATCATTACCTATGACTGCCAATGAAGTCCGAAACAACATTGTAAAAAAATACTACTTCCTGGCTATTCTCGCGGTGCATTTGCCTAAAATTCAGAAAAAAATCTCCTTCTTATAGTCCTGGAAGAGGAATTGTAAAAATGAAGTGGAAGCAGCAAAGCTTGCAAGTGTTTTTCGAATTTGCCTTTTGCCTCCAACTCACAAGTAATGAGCACCACGCAGGCGCTCTAGAAGAGAGCATCACCTAAACGTTATGAATAGAGGAAAGAAAATGAAATAATTATGACCTATTGACGAAAGTTCTGTCGAAATGAAATCCAGTAGGAAAGATGATGAACCACTTCACCTCTCGATCTCAGTTGACGAAGCAAGTAGCAGCCATATGAAGTGCATATTGTACTAGATAATATAGTTCGTACTGTCAAAGAAATCTGTTGTACAGCTCTTTAAAATCTTATTACAATGTCAGAACGTTGAAAGCAGTCACGGCACTTATTATACATACTCATTAGTGTTTGCATCTTACAGGTGCTTTCAGAGAGATGCTAGCAGATATGGAAAGCGAAATCATTTCATAGGCACATCTTTTCATACCCATCTTTTTCTAATCAGTCACTCCGTTAAACACATTTTTACAATAGGTGATTTTATGTGGATCGGGTGATCTCACGCATGTAGTTGCCTCAGATGAAAAGGAAAGGAGAACCGAGAGGGAGGACTACGAATACTCTTGCAACTTTTCGACATTCCACTGCCTGTACTGCGTTTCATTTCAAGCAATAAGCAGCTCATTTGATTAATCAAAGCGCTGCGATCGCTCAGAGGTTGAGAATTTTCTTATATAATTCTACACTACACTACATGTGATATGTGCCATTCACCCTTTTTCACAGGCAAGCTTTCATCGACTATTGTTTTAACGAGAAAATCTTATTTAAATTTGCGTTTTATATCTTCCCCTATTTGTCTGGAAGAAACTTCTTCAGGTTACATTTTATAAGAAGGAGCTATAAACTGTGAGTTAGAGAGTTACTGGAAATTCAGAGGGGGGAGGGGGATGCCCCTCTTTTTCCAGTATTAACTTTTGCTTCCTTTTGTTAACATTGCTTTTTAATTTGGTCAAACAGCTGTTAGCTTCCAAAACTGCGCTCTCAATTCAACATTTATTTACTCACTTCTCGTTAGTTTGAAACTCAGGTAAGCTCGTTTGGTCTTCATTTACAAACCTTCTTTAAAAAATATTCTTTATAGTACGTAATTCTTGAATAAGCAGCAACTACCTAATCCGACTACTTTCTCCATGTTTACTTGTTCATTTTCAATATTGGATGAAGAATGAGATCCACTCTTTAACCCATATACAACTACCCGAGCCCAAATAGGCTTTATCGCACATAATGAGCCGTAGTTTTCCGAACAAAGCATGGGACAAGAATATTACAACCCTAGAAAAGATTACGCTCTTTATCGCAAATGACAAAAGGACTGATAAACCGAACAGTGGGAACGGCAGGAGTTTTTGGCACCCTCGCTCTACGGCCATTCGAGCTACTTGTAGAATTGGCACTACAGTTTCTATTCATCTCTTCTTCAAGTCATGCTGATTTTTTTCAGAATCAGTCTTGTTTTGCAGTATAGATGTAGTATAGTTTAAAATACTATTAAACACTAATAAGATTTACTGTATTATGCTTGCTTGGATGAGCAGTTCGTAAGTGAATCTATGTCTAAGCTGAGCACACTTTTACAATACTTTTGATTCTGTTAGTTCCTTCAGAAGATCCCAAGTTCAATCCTTTATCTTTGCAGATTTTGTTAGCTTGGAACTTTCTTCAGCGTTCTGAACATATGGGTCACTTGAAACATAAACATGATCTTGTGTTTCTCTTTATGTGTTCTAGTTCATTAGCGGATTAGAAATCTCTGGATTTGATAGTTTGATGCGATTAATTTGATGGGATAGGTCAACTGCCAAAACGTCGGTATAATAAATTATATATCAATGTTTTTAAAGACGAAAGTTGCAAGTTTACATAATCCCTTTTGCATTATATCTAATTTCTGTGAAAAATAGGAAACCTATTTAGCTATTTATTAGGGCAAATCGAATTATTGTCCTCTTTGATGTCAATGCATTAACTTGTCTTCTTAGCTATTCTCGCGATTTTGTGATTTATTTATTGTTAACACTTTAATTAATTTGAGGTGGACGTCAGCTTAAACACTCTGCAATTTAGATTCTCAGCAGTTTA